GGGGGGGGGGGGGGGGGGACGGATGTATGGTGTATGGACAGAGTGCCTCCGATTTTAATGTAACGGCGCAGAGCCGCTGTTTAAAGAGCACGGAATCCATGGAGACCGTGTCGGCGCTGCGCTGCGCGGGATTAAAGGTCGCCACCGTCTCGCTGTCGTGCTCTCGCTCGTCCGTTGCCGTGGTGACCCACCCGGGCTTTGCCTGTGTCCATCTGGGGAGGGGTCCTGAATTGGGGGGCGGGCTTGCTGAGATACGGGGGAAGGGGGCAGAGTGGATCTTAAACGAAGCGTGACTGTTAGATCGGCACGTTGCGGCTCCATTTTGTCCGCCCTCTGCATAAAGACGGCTTTGATTGGACGGGAAGTGTTTAACTCCGGGAATGATCTAGCTACCTTACAGGACACCAACAGGGAAAATATTACTTTAAGAATAAAAACTCCATTTACCTTCCAGGACACGTCAGCCCAGCCACCAAACCTCATAAATCCTGTATAATGGCATCTCAAGCCTCTACGCTGGACATTAGCTGTCATGCTTTCTTCTGTTTTAATTGGCTCCTAATAAGCTAATAGATGGATGCTGGGACTGAATGAGTCAGACAGCATTTATGCGCAGAGATGGAAGTAGAAGCCATTTTGACATCACTTTTGCTGTGAGCACAGCGGGGGACTTAAAATAAAAACAGTTGTTGGTGTTGACAGGATTCTTTTAAGGGCAATAATCAGACGTAATCGTTATTTATGCAGTTTTACATGCTGTGCCATCTATAGCAGCTGCTGTGAGGATTCACACCGCTCTCTAAATCCTCCCCTTATTTCCGAGTGCCCTCTTCTCCGCCAGAGCACCAGTTGCTGTCTGTTCTCCCCCTCCCTCACATCCCCCCCCCCGCCCCCCGCACGCATGACTTGCTGTCGTCAGGGGCCCCCGATTTCAAAGAGCCTCGCCGTTGCTAGGAGATGGTCTTCTGTTGCTGTGGCATCGGTTGCTAGGTGGTCTTTTCCGTGTCGATGCAGGCGAGCAAGCGATGACAGCGGGCCGGGGAGGTGGGGGGGTGCATGGAGCTTGGGGCGATGCCGCTGTCTGGACTATGAACTGTGCGATGCCCCGAATCAGGTGGCCGCGAGAGAGAGAGAGACCTGTCCGGCTGTCAGCATCGGTCGCCGTGGTATCAGGACCTGGAGCTCACCCCCCCCACTCCCTTCCAGGTGGGCGACGCCATGAGGAAGATGCAGGAGCGGAACAACATCGGCAAGGTGATCCTCCTCCCCGAGCCCAAGAAGGAGGAGCCCAAGAAGGAGGAGCCCAAGAAGGAGGAGCCCAAGAAGGAGGAGAAGAAGGATAAGAAGGAAGATAAGAAGGAGAAGAAAGAGGAAAAGAAGGAGGAGAAGAAGAAAGAGGAGCCCAAGAAGGAGGAGAATTGAGAACGTGGGGCCTGTAGTATTAGAAAAGGGGTTAGATGCCCCTGCTGGGGGGGGATGGGTTTATTTTTCGGGGTGGGGAGGTGGGGTACAGCCTAATTTGACATCAGCCTGAGTCACCAAAAGCTGCTCTTGGCCCTCCCCCCCCCTCCCCCCCCCACGGCTCATTGTTCCAGATCCTCCAGCGTCCGCCTGGTTTACGTTACCCCCTGCCCCCTCGAGCGCTCATGTTTACTCCACCCACCACGACGCAACAAACTAACCACTGTGCTTCTAGGCACCCCAATGCATGGGAGGGAACCGCACGGGACTCTGGGAAATTTCCCCCAGCCCTGGGCAGATGGCCGTCGCCGTGACGACCGCACACCTGCTCGTGTGGCACCTCCCCCGCTCCCCACTCACCCGTTTTGCATGATGCCGTCATAAACCCTCCCTTTACCTGACTTTCAAACCCCCCCCCCCCGGCAATCAGAGCAATGCAGACTCACAGAGAGACCCCGTTTGTGTGCCTCCACCCACCTAAGCTTGACGGTCTCCCAGAACCGGCGCTGCCGTCCAGCAAAGCAGGGAGATGAGTCAGTCCAGCGGCTGATTGGCTGTTTACGGCTGGGACGGCTCTGCATGTGTATGAGCTTGCTGACTCTGCCCGCTCAGTAGAGCATGCTGATGGAGATACTTATCTCCGTCCACCAAAGGCCTCCCCAGTTATACAACACACAGCCCCCCCCCTTTCGTTTTTTCATACCGTAAGATTGATCACCTGCTGGATGAGGGGAAGGTGACAAACTCACAGTTTTAAAAGTAATGAAGATTTTACTCTTAACGGCGTTGAACTGTCTGTCGCCCAGTGCAGCCAGGATAATTCAAGCAAATAATTATAGAGATGAATTGGCCTACCCTACTATCAATGCACGCTGCTAATTAAAAGCAAGTTTTAACATTGAAAATAATGTAAAGAAGAAAATGAGTAATGAAATTCCTGTAGATCTGTGCCCTTTCCCTGCATCCAGCCCTCCGTGAGTCACTCGCCATAGCAACCGCACTTCTCCATAGCGACTTGGGTAGTGGTCAGAGGTCGCTGTGACTACTGACCTCACGATGCGAATGCCCTCACCAGCTTCCTAACTGCCTCTTCATCTCCTCCTCTTCCGTCACCTTTCCGGCAGTCAGCATGGCATGTCTGCCCCCCCCCCCCCATCTCTCCCTAGGGAGGGACGGCAGATCTACAGGCTAGGGATGGGCTGCTGAGGATGGTAAACTAGGGGCAGGGTGTGAGTCATTGTCCACCCAGACAATTTAATCTGAAGAGGTGTCCACTACTCTGCTGTTCAGCCACAAGGAGGCGCACTGCCTTATACTAGACTAGTGTGGACACAGAGCATTATCAGAATCCCGCTCACCCCAATTTATTGCAGTATATCAGAAGCAGAGGTGGAAAGTCCAGGTCCAGAAGGTACAAATCCAGACCAAGATTTTCTTTCAACCAACCAGTTCAGTATCAAGAGTCACAGTCACATTGTACTCAGCTGGTTGGTTTAACGAAAATCGTGGTCTGGATTTGCACCTTCTGGACCTGGACTTTCCACCTCTGCTCAAAAGTTACTATTGAAGATGTGCCATAGCGTGGCTTCTGATATTTCCTGTTGTGTAGACCCCCACTGGAGCGATGTGTCATTGGATTTAGCAAGAACCTACGTTCCCATTCCTGCTCATACCCACTGCTGACTCCGGGTCTTTCTGTGGGTCTCTTCCTGTTTTCGGTGGCTCAGAGCTGACTAGCAACTTTGTAAGGAATAAAAAAAAAAAATGTTTGTATGAGTGACTTCACTCCTGTTCTGTATGTTGGTGAGTGTTTGGATGCTCCAGTGATGTTTTAACCCTTAAAATGCCTGTTCCTTTTACCTGCTCCGTTTCTCTCTATTTCCTTTCTCCTCTGTCTTTCTCGCTCCCTCCTTTCTGCCCTTCCTCTTCTTCGAGGCCTGTGCTAAGACGGTTGGTTTCAGTATCTTGCACCCCGCTTTCTGGCCCATTGCCCCCATCGGGGGTGGAAATCACGCAGATTCATGGCTTTGTCTCAAGCCTGGTCACTGTGGGCTCTCCTTTGACGTTCAGCCACACAGAACACAGACATTACTACCCATTAAGCACATTATCTCCATACAGAGTTAAAAAAAAATCCGTCCAGTTTTGCGGGGGCTGGGGGTTGATGGTTGACAGAGCCATGAAATCGCCCATGTTTCCACCCTTGGTCTTGGGACCGGCTGTGTTGCGTCTGGTTCCGTTGCGTTCTGCCGGGTTCTTGGTGTTACTGTGAGTGGTGGTTCCGTCGAGAGTAACGTGTGAGTAACAAAATGCTTAAGTGAAGGATGTTGTACTTTATATCGTTGTTTTTTTGTTTTGTTTTGTTTTCTGTTCTGTGACACAAGGGGTTAAAGTTCAAAGTCACTTGCGCTTAATTAAAGCCTGCTAGTTTCCTTTAATGTGATATATGATACCTTATTTCTGTTCTGTTCTGACTAAGTGTGCCAAATTGTATGTAAACTACTCTGTCGACGCCTTAAAGACGACTGTGCATTCGACGGTGAGGAAAGAAAAATCGAGTCAAAAAGCCAAATAGATTTTGTCTCTCTTAACGTACCTGAGTTGCTTACTAAACAGCATGCATGCTTTTCCTACGGTTTACACACAGTTTTTGGATCCAGAATGCTTTTGGGCACCGGACCTTTTGATACAGCTGATTTTTGGGCGTTTTTGTAACTCGTCACAGCGCCTTCGCCCTGCCAAACTCCAAACCGCATCTGCCCCATGCTGTCCTGGTCCTGGACCTCGGTGCATGATGTTCCTCCCATTAAAAGTTTTGCCAGATAACAGTTTGTTTTTGTGGGGGGTCAAGCAGCCATTAGTCTCCCGGGACATCATTTCAGTTGTGTGTGGAGGTGGGGCAAGCAGGAGAACACAGAGAAGAATGGGGGGTGGGGGGGGGATGGCAATTTTCAAGGTCCGAGGTTTGAAGAGATTTGTCAAGTGTCACGCCCCGCCCAGTCTCACTGTATCCCCTTTCCTGTTGCTTTAAGGGTTGCTCTGAGCTACTCGCAACATGAGAGAGGAAGCAGATCCCGGCCCCCACCGGGCCCGCACTCTGCTTGCCTTCCTGGCGCTTCCAGTTCTACACATTCCCATTTTCCTCCACACCCTGGACTGCGGCCGCTACCACGGTCGCTATCCTTTAGCATGACGCAGACGTGTTAATTTGCCCCCGCCTCTAGGGGGCGACGTGGAGCTAGAGGGCAGTTCGTATGAGCCAAAATGGCTTCCAGATTAATGAAGAATGGGACCTGTCTCAGTGGACTGGGGTGGGTGGACTGTGTTTGTGCTGGAGGGGTCAGCACTGGTCTGTCGGATGATCAGTCCCCCACCCCCGCTTGCAGACCCCTGGTGCTGGATTGGTTTTCCAGATTTTTCTGCACTGCATTCTCTGTCGCGTTCTTCATCCAGGAAGCTAAAGGAACAAATTATCATTTTTTTTTGGTGGTGGGGGAAGGGAAGCAGGGCTCCTGCGTGTAGCACTGTCGATGCCACACACTTGAGATTGATGGAGTAATTTAATAGACACCCCCCCCTCCCCAGGAAGTCAAACCATCTCTCTGCTTCACCTCCACAGTTTGGTATTTCCCATGAGGGCCCCCCCCCCCCCCCCACACGGGCTGCACGTTTGCTGTGAGGTGCCTGGCGGCTTT